TCGACGTCTAGGTGCTACGGGAAGGTCATTCCAGGGCGCTTAGGTGAAATCGAAGTGGCAAGGTGGTAAAGAGTTATATTAGCAGCAATGATTTTGTTCGTCTCGCTCGTACTTCGCGATCCGTATTTCGCTGAACCGCTAGAGTCGCATAGCCCAAACATGACCATTCGGGCGGATTATTAGGCTTCTATACAGATACGGGACCTTGCAAAATGTCACACAGTAGCAGACAGGATCAGTAAGCCTGATTTTTATTGGAATAGTCTAGTGGCGTACTAGAAGGTACGCAAACATGCTAGGCTTACCGATAGGGTGTAGATTCCAGGTGATCGATCCACATCAATCTCGAAAATTTGTGTACTATTGGTTTTGAAAAGTGTCGTCGGTGCGATTTCATCTGCAATAAAAGTTGACAATAAACTTCACCAACATTGGAATGTTTCGTTCACATTACTGTTCAGGAAAACACACATTTTCCCTTTTGAAGACACATTCCGTAATAAAAGATGGGCGGAGACTGATAACCATTGCGCGTTTCACACTTCGACGTTAAAAACCTTGCGGGGAGGGAAACACCTGTAAGCGCTTGCAGCATATTAAATTTAGTAATATCGCAGCTACGCGATCGGACGGACACAGGAAAAAAGCGCGCTCCAGTGAGAAATTACAGTACAACGTCCCGCGACGAAAAAACCGCCACTGACGGCGGGAAGAAACCACTTTTGGGCACAAAAATGGGCCAAGGCCCACAAGGTGTCATATCATTCACCATTCCAGGACGCCGTTCACCACTCATAGGACCTCACCTTCACTCCGGCCGTATAGAAAGGGAGGGGGGAAGATATCTTTTATTCCATGTCATCGTTTTATTGTATGTCGCTGTTTTTACACTCGCGTAGTTTACACTCTGTTTTACACTCGTTGTTTTACAATCGCATATACAGTCGTTACTACTACTACTTTGTTGCCCGTTTAACACATTCGCGGCGGCGCCGTTTCGTCAAAAACTCCCGTTTGTCGAGCGACGCGTTCGCGGCGGGCGACACTTAGGCAGTCATCCCGTTCATGGTTGCGCGCTCGCGACGGAACCATAAACGCCTAAAATTCACGGAAGCCGTTTTTCGCCATTCTTACATTTTTCCCTTCTACAAGTTTTATCTAAGTTTCGGTAAATGAACTAGCTTTCTTGCCCTTTTTGATGTTCACTGGTACCGCACAAAGAGGATGTAGACTTTGATTCTTGTGAAAGTTCTTAGTTCCTCTTGTAAAAACCACTACTGCCTCACCTGGTTCCAAAAAATACACGAGAAATGTTCTTAGTATTACTTGTATATTATTTGTTTTATGATTTGTTCATAATTGCCAGTGAAAAGAAGTAAAAATCATCAAAAAACGAGCGAAGAGGCGCGTGTACTCCCAAGAATGCACGATTCGCCTAAAGAGAAAGTTTTTGAGTATTTTTTCAGGTATACACGCCTCTTCTAATGTGTGGATATTATTTCTCTATTGTTTGATTATTATTTATATCCAATTGTTAGTGGGAAAAGAAAATAAAATACAAAAAACCAGCGAATAGGCGCGTGTACTCCCGGGAGTACACGATTCGCCGAAAGCGGAGTTTTTCGTGTACTCCCGGGAGTACACGCCGCCGCGAAGGTATTAATTACCCAAGTTTGAGGGCGTGTTTCGTTGTTGGAGATAAAATATTGTTTATTCGTCTGTGCGACTGCTACTAGTATTCCGTTAATCGGCTATACGAATTACTTCAAGTAAATTGTATATTTGTGAATACAACCTTGTCAACACCGTGTAGGACTTTTTATCACCTGCCAAGCACGCTGTAAACTCCTTCCGAACTTAATGACTGGTCAAGACATGGAAAAAAAATTGTGAAATGCAGTTCAACTGACATTAGTACCGTTTTGCCACGATGGACAGGAGCTTACAGGGTAGCTGACAGGAATCAGCAGGACTTGCCGAATGAGACACGATTGGACGCGCATTGAAAATGCTTACAGGTGTGCTCCCCCCCCCCCCCCTCCCCCCACACAAAGGTCGCGCCACATTTACATACGGTAAAGAGGAAAGATACGAGAAAAAAATCTTCATGGTTATGAGCCCCACCCATTCCTGTACCCATTCAAATTATCTCGCCAATGACTGCTTAGGGTCACTGAACAACTTAATGGCAGTCTGAAGCATCATACTCAACTTCATCTCAGAGGCGTTCTATAACTCCCATTGAAGCCATAGATAGCTGAAGTGGTGACGTAAATCCTTGTTGTGGCAAAGTCTACCTCCACATACCAGTCGCTGGGTGTAGAACATTGGAAATTTTTATGTCCAGTAGGATTTGTCAGGACATACGACCCGTACAGTGTCGGCAGGTAAACAGAGAACATCTAAAAAAACTCAGTACATTGCTTGGAATTGATCAAGTGGGATAAAATAAGTGCTACCTGTGAAAATCGACGCGCTTGTGACAAGAGCACATTACCACCTTGGAATAGGCAAGCTGGCAGTTGATTAGAGAGTTGTCGCGAGAATTCGCATCCACAATCAGGGGCGAGTTGTAAATAGTAGGGGAACTGGATATTGTTTTTTTGCACTTGATGACCAGTCACGGGTGAGATGTGGGCGCGAAGCCAGCTGCCATCAACGCGCCCCGTCTTGTTCATCGTCTCAAGAAGTCTATGAAGAAATGGATAGGGCTGACGTCCACTGCACAATGTCATGCGTCGGAAGTCCCCTCCCCTGAGTTTTGTGCAACCTTTTTCGGGAATTCCGATTGCCTTTAAAGCAAAAACGGACAGTAGGAACTAACGTGAGCTTGAACGTTAGAGATCAGCTCGATGTCTCCATCGCGCGCTTGTTGATCGCTGACACCTGCCGAGGTGACGGCAAAGACCTCACTGTTCGGCAATTGGACGTAATATGATAGAAAGAGCTGCCCGGAGAGCTCTGAAAACCAGAAATATTACATTGATAGCCTCGGAAAAGAGGGGATACTCACCCGTAGAGAGGCATACTACATGTGCCAGCGTCGGTCATCCTTCCTGCGGCCGAGCTCAGTCCCATCACCAATGACCCAATGTTCGAGTATTGGAAATATTGGAACGTGACTCGGTTGTGACGGGGCATTATTAGATGGTCTCATAAAATTATTTCTTGAATCAGAATAATGAAAAGGACTCTGGGACTAACAGTCGTATGTGACGAGAGCGTAATTGCTGAACCATTGAGTGCCTTGAATTGCTCCATTGACAATGGTGGAGAGATTCGCAATCAAGCTGAATCCAGGTAGCGTAGGTAAAATTCTCGACTTGGTCAGTATCGTGGCAGTTGCATTGATTTTGAAGCAATTTATGCGATACTTGCCCCGGACTCGTCTGTCGGGTTCAACAGCGGACATCAGTCACAATCCCCATGCCAGAGGCTGTAACAGCATATACCAAAGCTTAAGAGTTATGGAGCGCGTTAATGAGAGTTGCGGAATGGCAAAACATTTGCTTTGTGGCTGCTGAATATTCTGCTTCTAGATGGTTAAGGAAAAGTGTGCAGCTTACAAAGAAAGCGCATGCAACACTTCTCGCACATCAAATGTGATCGTGTAAGCTACCGTCTTGTCAAGTTTGTTCGTTCTCCTATTTGTATGTGCTCAATATAGCCAATAGCGCCAGCGCTTCTCATCCTGCCCCCCCCCCCTCACTGAACGAGTAGCGTCTCTGAAAACACGGCATCATCGGGTGTCGAATAACCGGCAAATGCCCTGTATTTGCCTTCTAGGTCGAATCCATATGGCCAATTTACTTCATTTGGCTGCCCGGAGGGTTTAAAAACACAATCCACGATAACGGGTGGGCGGAGAAAACTACAACAAATTCCTACGCTTTCTCACTAACGCTTCCTCACCACATTGGAAGCAGGGACGCATTAGTGGAGAAAAGAGGTGCAGTGGCTGTAGGTCTCGGAGCTGGTTTCCACGACAAGGATAGCCATCTAAGGGCTATGAAGATTCAAAGGGAAGAAAGAAAAAGCGAAGAAACTGACCGTGTCAATCATCGGCTTATTTCGGAGGGTCGTTTCCACGATAAGGACGAAAGTTTTTGCGTCGGGCGAGAAGGAAATCGGCGTTTTGGTTGCGCATTGCCTCTTGAAAATATTGAGCGCTTGGAAAGAAAGCTTTCAGTAAGCAACGGCTGCCTGTGGCATGGCTAAGCGAGGAGCCAGCCGCCTATTGCGGGCGCGTTGTACTATGTGGGAGCAACAGGAACTCTACTACCTCCACCGGTCTTCTGTTTTGCTCGTGTTCTCGGCCAATTAGTACTTCAGGGGAACTCGTGAGGTACGGGGGACCGCCTTAGCAGACGCAAACGGTCTCTGAGCATTTTGTCCTACCTTTCCCTCCCTCTGACAGTCCCTGAGCCTCTTCAACAAGAGCTCTTTCGGGTCATGGCCGCGTTTTAGAAATGGTTTTGTTGATGTCGTAGGATGTTCCATATAAGGACCACAAAAAAATTGGTTTGTTTTTGCGTATGTTGGGAATGTCAAAAAATGAGAAAAGTTTGCTGAGCGAAAGCGATTTGAACCATTTGTCGTAGCTCTTTCTATTATAAATGCTGGAGTATGCATAGCAGATGAGACCTTCGTCGACATTGCATCGAAAACAATACAATTCAAGGTGAAAAAGTACTTTATTTGGCACACAGTGAGGCAGCATTGTAGTTTCTCAAGTGATTCTCGCAGCATCCCAACCCGCAGCTGGAGGGGGGGGGGAGGTATTCAGAGCCATGTTGCGGCCGCGACAATTAGAACTCAAGGCAACCGTGATCAGGGCCGTTAATAACCTCTATATACAGGCTCAGCGAAATTTTCTCCTCGAGCTGTTCGAGCTATGATGGTTGGTCTTGTTGAACTGGTGGCTATCAGTATCCTGTACAAGTAGTTATCCAACTTCGATACCTGGACCTTCTAGTGTTTACTAGTATATACCCTCACAACTAAACTAACAACTACATATTTCAAAAAGTGACATATATATGTGTTGCACAACATCTACACCTGGAAAGTTAAAGTGGAACCAGTTACGGTGGGTGCGCTGATCGGTGCCGCTGTCAACCATGGTCGGTCCATTATCACCAAAACCTCCGAAATTTTTTTGCTGGAAGTTCGTATACAGGAGTAATTGGTAGCCCCGCTCACGATTCTGACACTTATTTTATGCGCCGAGGCCATTTGACGCCAGCATGGCGCTTAACAGCCCCTGCGTGCAGGTTGACAACGATTTCAGTGCAAAGAATGCTCTTTGCAGCAAATCGCGATAATCGTTCCCTGTAGGCCAACTTTCAGCAGGAATTTCCTCAATAATGTTTCGAGAGCGCAACAGTTACGTAGGGTTGACGCGAGACATCACGCACGCAGGAACACAAGGAGACGGAAATCCGAAAACAATGCGAAAAAGTTCCTCCTAGCACCGGATTCGATGCCATTTAAACCACCTTGTCGGGAGCCCATCGCGATATCCTCTCCGCCATCCGTCGACCACGAAACAGCTGTTGCGGGAATTGTTGAAGTAAACTCGGTACTACTTCTCTCCATGCCCTTTCTTTATGACTTCATTTGCTCTCTTTTTGAATACGCACTTAAGCGAGCACATCATAATAAATATAGCACTCTCAATGTGCCAAGCTAGATACAGAGGCTTAATAACGCGAGTTAAAATGTGCTCTTTCTTGCCAAATGCATTTTTACTCATTCTTTTGGATTCCCCATGAATGCATAGCAAAAACGAAACCTATTTTTGTACCTTATATGGATACTCTCAATAACAACATGGCAACAAACATTTTCTAAACAAGCGCTGCCACGACCTGGAAAAGCTCCCTTGTCAGGTGAGCTGACTGTTCAACAATAAAGAGATCTGGGAGATATAAAAAAAAACTTGAAATGGCACATTTCATGGCCTTGCCAGCTCGAGGTAGTGATTAGGTTGCGGAGCTAACCGCTTTCCCAGACAACAAAGTAAAGTTGAGCCTTTTACAGAGGCCTAGAAAGCGAGTAGCAGAAGGCGCATAGTTCAGGCCCTGTAACCTAGGCCACCCCACGTTGGCTGGTCAAGTGCTTTTGTCTGTGATCTCGGATAGCTCTCTGCTCTCTGTCATCGTTCATCTCTGGTCTCTCACATTTGTTCGTCCCCTCCTCTTGGTATGCAGATCATGTCGTCAAAACTGATTCTCACAAGAGGCCTTACATGGGGCTCCTGGGCGTTTTTGACAGTTTCTCCAGCTTTATTGTTCATAAAAGAGCTACTCAAAGCTTGCAAGTCCGTACTTGAACATAATCACTTGCATTCGCGTGTGTCTTAAAATGAAAAATAAAACCGTCGAAGTCTCATTCTGTTTTGCTAAGCATTTGAACTACACTTTATATCCGGGAGATGGGATGGGTGTGGCGTATGGCGATCGTAGCTGCAGCTGTTTTTGGAGGGATAATGTGGTTTCGGATCAAGTACGGATCAAGTAGTAATCAAGTCCTCGTCTGGCCCAAGGCAGGATGACAGCTGCACAAGACAGGATGAGAGTTGTTCAAATGGAAACATCCCACGAAAAGCGTTCCCTGGGCCATTTTCAAAGCCACGCCCTCTCCTTGTCCGGGATATGGAGTGTACTTGGCCTTGACGTCTGGTGAACGGCCCCATACTTACTCAGGAAACAAAACTCATAACGGAACAGAAACAACATACCGAATTCACAGTGTTCACCAGCATATAACTCAGGGCACATACATCTCCTGTAATCTGGGCTCAGAGTTCCGCCGTTTACACAAATCGGTATATCACATTGTTTTCCTGAAATTGTTGTTGTGTGAAAATTGGTAAAAATAAAAAGATGAAATAAAAACAAAAGTCAAAGAGCAAACTATGAAATCTCGTTCTTTCAGCAAGATAGATACATGAAAGTGAAAAGAGCAACAATTTAAGAATTTTGGATAGCTCTAACAACCTTGGGGGGGGGGGAGGGGGCACTCGTGTAAGTTATTGCCACCATTGCCTAGATCCTGTAGACTAGACTGCATACATGCCAGCACTGGATGACCTTGTCATTATAATGTGAGCCTTGTTATCAACTGTCAAGCAAGCAACTTGTTATCAACTGTCAAGCAAGTGAATCTTTGTCAAATCTTGTCGAAATGGCTGCGTGAAAATTCGGGAAAAAAAAACTGGAGAACTGCCGTTTCATTGGTGCTAGTACATCCCACCAAGCCTGACAGGACTTGCAGGATACTTGATAGTGGCAAATTGACGGAGTTCCAGGAAACACGAAAGTTGAAAAGACAAAAGAAAAAGATAAAGACTCACATTGAAAAAATTGAGCGGTCTTCCCCTTTCCAAGATTTTTAGGTGCATTTTAGGTAATGTGGTGTAGTGCATGTGAACTACCTTTTACGTTTAGCTTCAGGTTAGCTTTCCACCGTCTTTGTTTTTATACTTGTTGCTGAATTTTTAATGGGTAAATTTTTGTATCTTTAATATGATGATGTATGATTCTAGGTAAACCCGTCACGAAACCTGTCCAGTACTTCGGTGCAGATACAAAGACCTTGCCATCGCACTCCACCATTGCAGGTGATTGCTGGAAAGATATGATCGCCTTTTCTTTTTTTTTGATGTTAACCAGCTAGGCGTGTTGAATCGAAATAAACTCCGCGATAACCGGATGGGCGGAGACACCCAACCACTTGTGATTTCTTGGCACCTCCCGCGTGCTTTCCTGTTAGAGAGGTGCACCAATGAGGAAGACAAAATGTGTGTTGGGCGTCTCCACCCATTTAACTGAATATGGTAAAAAATGCTTTTGAAAGGGAAACAAACTAGGTTGAATGGCTCACTTTCTCTGGGAGCAATGGCCATATGTCACTCTTTGGAACAGATTACCGTACTCATCTTCGCCCATGTGCTGAAATTAGGAGTTTTGCTGATAATTTGTGGAACAAAGTGGTACGAAGAGAAATACGTAGTATCGGTAAATTCCCTTCGGATTTGTCTTCAAGCTCTAGTGCCCCCTCCGAAACCTAACTCATATAGCCGTAGCTCGAAGGTTGGAAGTGCGATTGAAAGGTAGGTTCTAAAGACTCCCTTTATGAGAAGCGTACTCATCTCTAGTAGCCCTTGATGGGCCCATATTCTGTTCATCCACTGGTTGTTGTTAGACAACTATATACGGGTACAGGTGAAGCAGAGGCAGTTCCAATGCCAGTGGTTGAGGAACGTTGGTCTTCGCAAGCTCAGGTGCGCTGGAAGCAAGACGACGTTCCACCACCCTTCCACCAATAACGCTGCAACTGCCCCTCACTAGGCACCCGCTGCCTTCAAAAGCATAGTGCACGTTGATCGTATGGGCGGAGACAGCCAACGATTGTGCACTCCTCGCTCCCATTCTCTCTCGTCATGGGAGCAGTGGCACGAAGCACAATGGTTGACTATCTTGGCCCAAGAAATTCTTCAGCTAAGGTAAAAGGCACCGAATAGGCCTTAAAGCTCTTCAGGCTCTCCACATTTTTCAGGACTGCTCAAAAAAGTGGAGGCAGGGAATGGACTCACTGCATCGAATCGTAACAAACCGGTGTGGCTTTGATCTAGCTAGCTTTCTGGAGGATTTCGTTGAAAATTCCGGCCATCAAAGCTTTACCTACCGTGATGGTGAATTCATTGTCATCTGAGTCCGAATTTGGACAGCTGAACGATTGAGTCTGCCATGGATATGAGCACTGAGCACGTGCGCTGTATGTCATAGCATTGTAGAATGTTCCTGGAATAGTTCCGCTCATCAAAGAATAAATTCAAGTCAATCTCTTAAAGTTAACAAGCTTAAAGAAACATTCCGCGATAATGGGATGGGTGGAGCAACAGAACCATAAAAAAATAGAGAAACGGAATCATGAAAACCATCAAAAAAATTCAGCCTTCTAACTCTGACGCAATCCTCTTTTCTAGCGAGGAGGAACGCGTCAGCGCACAGCACAATAGTTGTGAGTTCATTTTTTTCTCCACCCATTTGATCACTTCGGAATGCGTCTTTGACAAAAAATCTTTAGAACAAACCGTTTGCAGCGTCATTGAGCAGAGCGTGTGTGAGGATGGGACTACGATGAGCGTTGTCCAAACTGTGGATGTAGGTGATTATGCGATTATTCGCTGAAATCGAACATTTGTCTAAAAAGAACAGTCGGAGAACGAGCTCTTTCTTGAGAGGGACCTTTTGATCAGACCCCCTCCTGCTTATTCCTAGTCCTCAATCTCTTTGGTGACGATCTATTTTCAGCTACAGTCTTTATCACCGCAATCAGTAGGGGCGTGTCAGCAGCGCGTGGGGCGCCAGCACCTTCCCCACCTCTTACCGAACGCTCAGCTGCGATCGATCGGTGGAAAACGGGCTGGTGCCGCGCCAAAACACTGCTGACACGCCTCGACTGTATGTGACAACGACTCTACCGATCGCTGGCCATCTTGAGTTACTCATCTACCTTCGCCTATCCCTTTTCCTTCCATCCACCCTGAACCTTGTAGCTAATAGGTAGTAGTGTATGTCATGGCGATGTCATTTGGCAGAAGCCAAAGGAGGTCACCGCTCTGTACAAAATCACTTTCATGAGCTAGAAGGTACAAACGAATTCTCACGAGAGTCCTGGACAGGATCGTTATCAGGCTCGTCGCCGATAGCGGTGGTCACGAAACCAGGCACGATTTGCAGATCGCTTTGAACACGAGCTTGCACGAAACACGACCGCACTGTATTCGACGGGGGTACGTTCACTGACACGTACCATTTTCCAGCTGGGAGATCGACTGAAAGACCATTTTTAATAAATTAAATGTATAACTTATACATTCTAATAGCAACTGACGCTCTCCGATGAAATTCGGACGATGGTCAGGATCGTAGCGATGCTTTTGACAGGCGAATGATTTCTTCGTGGAGCAAGAAAGAGGGGCCCTGAAAAAGGCAGATGGACGGTGACCCATAATGCCGAAAACTCTGTGGTATTTTGGCCCAAGCTTGAACCCAATATTAGCTCTAAAAAAGCTGGAAGTATGAGCTCATTTCTCATGCAAACATTACGCCTCGTCCATCCACGTAGCTCACGCGACGCAGTGGGCGCATCTATGCTATGCCTGTATTCCCTTCCCGAAAGGAATCCATGGACTGTAGATGGTCAGTTGAAAAGGAAACTGTGAAATCTAGAGAGAGCCCAAAGAGGAATAGAGCTTAACGAGATACGAAGGCATAGTCCACGTCGATCATGTGGGCGGAGACATGCAACCATCGTCGCTTTCGCAATGCTATGCCTCGTCCCGATGCAGTAGAGAGGAGGGACTCGCCAAGGCATATTGAGTCGCCCATGAGATCAGCAATTCAATACAATTTCAAAACTTCTTCTGTTTTTCTGTTGAAGTAATTGGGCAGTTAACAACCTTGGTAGGGGGCTATACAAAGGCAATCATCATTAGGGTTACCGTAGTTGGAATTTCCGCCACGCCCCAGGTGGGAGGAGTCTGAGGCGTCGAGCCGAATCAATTTCAACCGCGGCTGATGTGTGTGGCATGCCCGCCCCCCCGGCTTAAATTCGAAAGTTATCAACGTAGGACAACCATTTCACTAAACGGAATTTCCCACAGCGACACTGACTCCAAACCCAATCAAGACGCGGATGTTTGGGACCCAAGTTAAAGGGCAGTGCGTATGGTTGCTGGGTGCGGGCGGTTGCTGCCAGCGTTACTGGTAGAAGGGGCGCGACAGTTCCGTCTTGCCACACCCCTAGTCCTTCCACCAATTACGTTGGCAAGGAGCCAGGTAGCCTTCTCTCTTCTCCTCCTCCCCCCCCCCCCAGTCACTCGTTAGCCCCTGCCTTTGTACTCCTAGTCTCACTTTCGCTGGAGCCGTCAACTCACCATGTATTGCCGTTCATATTTCCTGCAGCTTGCCAGTAAACGCACTCCTGGTTGGCGTCATATGCAGGCTGCTGATTACCCACCCAGTAGGTTGGATTTGATAGCTGAAAATGTATATACCATTTTCACTTTAAATCGGACACTTTTCAAACCAAATCGGACACTTTTCAAACCAAATCGGACACTTTTCAAACCAAATCGGACACTTTTCAAATCAAATCGGACACTTTTCAAACCAAATCGGACACTTTTCAAACCAAATCGGACACTTTTCAAATCAAATCGGACACTTTTCAAACCAAATCGGACACTTTTCAAACCAAATCGGACACTTTTCAAATCAAATCGGACACTTTTCAAACCAAATCGGACACTTTTCAAACCAAATCGGACACTTTTCAAACCAAATCGGACACTTTTCAAACCAAATCGGACACTTTTCAAACCAAATCGGACACACCCCTTACAATTAGGTGGTTGATAACTAGACCACACTAGGTACTGTTGCAAGCCCCGCCCCATTATCCCCGCCCATTTCTCAGCGCGGACAGGGTTTTCCGAGATGCTTCATGAAATCTGCTCCCTCGACTTTTTTTCGTTTTTGCCCTTTGCACACACACTTCAACTGAAAAGATTGATACCTATACAGATCTGACTCCGCCCACTTAACAATGAAGTTACGTAAGTTCTGAATTTTTATAACTTTTTTCGACGTAGTTCTTTTCACATCCAATCTTCACAAAACGAATAACCATGCACAGCACACCAGGCCCCGCCCCTCTGACCCCGCCCACTTGTGTTTATCGCGGAATTTTGGTTTTTCTTCCGGATTTTCGCTTTTTTAGGGGGGCTTTTTTAGAGATTGGCCTCCGCCCCACAATGCGAAGCTCCGCCCATTTTGGAAAGCCCGCCCATGGTTTCGAAAATGATTGCAAATCGCGCGGGCGTGAGTGTCGTACTGGCGGATACGGCCGTCTCCCGGCAGCATAGGAAATAAAGAAAAAGGAAAAACGGAAAAAAATGGGAACTTTGTTTCTATGTGCCGGAGAGGCCGTATCGTCGCAGCTACGGACACTTAAGCCGTCGATTTGCATCATTTTTTTCGAAAAAGTGGGCGGGGCTTCCCCAAAGTGGGCGGAGCTTCCATTGGTGGGCGGAGCCAATCGCTAAAGCCTAAAAAAGCGAAAATCCGGAAGAAAAACCAAAATTCCGCGATAAACACAAGTGGGCGGGGTCAGAGGGGCGGGGCCTGGTGTGCTGTGCATGGTTATTCGTTTTGTGAAGATTGGATGTGAAAAGAACTACGTCGAAAAAGTTATAAAAATTCAGAACTTACGTAACTTCATTGTTAAGTGGGCGGAGTCAGATCTGTATAGGTATCAATCTTTTTCAGTTGAAGTGTGTGTGCAAAGGGCAAAAACGAAAAAAAGTCGAGGGAGCAGATTTCATGAAGCATCTCGGAAAACCCTGTCCGCTGAGAAATGGGCGGGGATAATGGGGCGGGGCTTGCAACAGTACCTAGTGTGGTCTAGTTATCAACCACCTAATTGTAAGGGGTGTGTCCGATTTGGTTTGAAAAGTGTCCGATTTGGTTTGAAAAGTGTCCGATTTGATTTGAAAAGTGTCCGATTTGGTTTGAAAAGTGTCCGATTTAAAGTGAAAATGGTATATATTAGCCTCCCTTAGTTTCACTTGGAAAGTTACCCGGCAGTTTAAAGTGCAGTTATCAACACGTTATTTCCTCCTTACAAACACTTCCAGAAAAGCTTGACGCAAAACTCACCGGCAATGGATGTGTACCATCCGGACCGTCCCACACATAGCCAGTGTTACCGGGGTTAGTCAGGCCAAGCCAAAAGTCGTAACCGCCGGAAGCTCCTAGAAAAGAATCAAATACTAGCCAACTTCTTCAGAACTATTCAGTGGCAGTAGGGTTTATATCTCAGGACTAGAGAGGTGTGTCCACGGGCACAGTTGTGAGGGAGGCGGTCGGTGCGTATCTGTGGACGGCTGTCAGTTCAGGCAGATGAGAAGCTTGCGCTTTCTTTTGCACATGTTACCTGCGTCTCTGCATGAACAACAACTGTCTACCGTCACCGCCTTGGCAAACAAGTCCGTGAACAGTCCCCCTCCACAACCAGGATATGGACAAAACTAGCTTTTCTAAACTTGGAGTATAAATTTCTAAGGTGTACCTATCAAGTAACTGTGTTTAGTTTCGCTGAGATCATCGATAAGACTACCGCCGGCGTCGTGGCAGAATTGCTTGGCGTCACCATATGAGTATTGTGGTGCCACGAAACGAATGCAGTACTGTTGAACCTCATCCCAACCTGGATCGCATTCTGGAAACAAAACAATAGTGATAAGTGAACGGTCCTGGATCTAGTTTCTCGCATTTGATCTGAGTCTGAGGGAGCTACGATCCTCAATCATCTAACTTTAGGCTTTTTCGCCTTCACCGAAACCTTGGTTGCCACTGCCTTGGCGCTGAATCAGTGAAACACACTGTATAGTATTGTTCGCTATGGGTACCTGTGCGAGTCGGGGAGGGGGGTGAGGGAAGGGTTTCGAGCGGCCAGCCTTTTCTGCACCAATGCTGAAGGGTCGAGTGAAAACGACTGGTGAAAATTGGGGGCCACGCGAAATTTAGCCCCATTGACATGCCCCAGCATCCGCAGCAAACAAGACCGTGGTTGTGCAGCGCCCGCGATATCCATTTACACTCTAGTTCGCTGCGGACGGTTGGGCGTGTCAGCCAGTATGAGTGTGCACAGCGTCAAGGCCGTTCTCTGCCTTCTTGTTGAAGCGCGGTAGTAATGCGATCGATATGATACAGTCATATCATTTGTTCGCTTCAAAAACTGGAAGAGAACGGGTTTGGCACCACGCCAAATGCAGCCGCACTGACACGCCTAACCGCCCGCAGAGAACCACACTATACAGATTGTAGGCTGTATGATTAAGATCACAGTGGAAAAGGATATGTGGTGAGAGAAAAAATAAACCAAATCATCAGATCAGACCAAATCATGCCCTGAGTAAGATCCCTGTCGGCTCTGAGCCTCAAATAAGCACTCGGCGAAGGGGGACTGGCAAAAAGAAAACCCGACGATGGTGTGGCGAGGGAATATTCATACCATAGAGACCCAGCGCTATAAAACGATGGAAAAACGAGATGATGACGTGGATCGAGCCCACGGAGCGCGATATTTTATGTCGCTCAACCATGACGCTCCAAAATGAGACAATTACTGAGAAGCGAAAAAACTAAACAGCTTTGCTCTTGCCGCTTCGGGGAGCGCGCCACTTTCGAAAGTGAACGAGGCTAATTTCTCTCGAAACTGTAGGCTCCTCCCTAAATTGCTGAATATTAAGTTACTACGTAAGTTTCTATTACAAAATAATGATAACACACCAGTCGTACCAGTTGAAGTCAGGGAACGCTTGTCAGCGCCCACATGGAAAGCCGGCGCGGGCCAGGCCCCTTTTGCACACTCAATTGAGCGCCCAAGCCACACCAGGAGACAAAAAAACTGGCTCGACGCCAAAACACTGGCGCCGCTGGAGCACCCCTGCTAATTTCAGTGATAATGACCGCCAACAACGAATTAACAATTTGGATCAAAAGTTATCACGTTAGCATCTGTTGTCCCCCCCTCCCTTCTCCACTGACCAGCCCCGCGCAGAATATACCGCATCACGTTCAGTATCTCTAGGGGAGTATGCGAACTGAAATGAAACTTCTTCTTGGGGCTCCCTCCTATTGAAAAACTCGCTAAATGAAATTATCAGCAAGGTTTATTGTTATAATAAAAACAACAGGAATTGATTGATCCACATTACCATACTTATCCATGCTTTTGTGGCTGCTCAAATCGTGCTGGACTGCTAGACCCAACCGCAAGCTTAGGATATCTCTATCCACAGTCACACTGGAGCTCTTACCTTCATTGATTGCCCAGTAAGATTGACGATGACAGCAAAAACTCACCTTTCCGGATCTCCAATGTCCCAGCCGGTTATTGGGTCGCTCAAAACTGACATCGATGGTTGCTGATTGCCTAAAAATGTGTTTTGATTGGATATGTGATGAGTTTAATTAAGCTACATCCTCATTCATTGCGCGAACATGGTGCGTTTTCAACCAGTATGATGGCACACCTGTTGAAAGGCCGTTCTCAGCCTTTTTGTTGAAACGCGTATGCGACAAAAAGTGGTAGAAAGCGAGTAATACGAAGGATATTATACAGTAATGCATTTGCCCGCTTCAACAACTGGCGAACGCTATGGCCACCACCGCCAAACGAAGCGCACAGACACGCCCCCGACAGTCCGTAAATGATGAGGACGTACGTAGTCTAATACCAAGCAACACATGATCGAACGCTAGGTCCAGCGAGCGGCTATGTTTGTCCGCTAAGGAGAGAGGTGATTCCCTTTGGGGCAAAAAATGTCTCGGTTGTTTACTCTTCCGCCATTTTTCCGACTTCACGTGCGCAATCCCCCAACCACCACCACCCAGTACCATCACTAAAACCACCAACAACCGACGGTGCTCAAACGGAGAGCTAAAAAAGAAATTCCAGTAATGGAGAAAGTGAAAGAAATTTTGGACAATTTCACCAAAAATTTGTAGACAATATTGGGAATGGCGAAAAGGAGTCTCAAGTCTTTTGATGAGGGCCACATTTCAGCCCTTTTTCAAGTAACCACCATATGTAACTACTATAAAGTGGACTAACCAGCTCCATCGTACACCGTCATGGTCTTGTTGAAGCCGATAACATTCAATTGAATCGTCTGTGCATAAGCATCGATAGGGAAGAACATCTCAAAAAAATTGAATTTGAAATAGGTAACATAGACAAACATAGGAAAAACGAAAAACATGAACCTAAGTTGTTAAAAAGTAGGAGCACCTGCATGGGTTCCACACAATCCGGCTTGTATTGTGAGAAAACGATTCCAGAGGAGAACTGAACTGGAATCAGGCGAAGGGCCTAAATAACTCGTACTCGTGTTTTCGCATAGTATTCATTTCATCCTTATCGATCCTTTTTTATGTAGGCTATCGCTCCAATCCTACTTATACGTATTTCTAATCTCCAAGCAATATCCATTTTCAATCTTTCTTTGAAAGGCAGTGGGCACGATTGTTGGGAGCGGGTTGTAGCCGCCAGCTTCAGTGGTGGAAGGGCTGGATGGGGCGTGGCCAAACGCCCTCTCCACCAATGACGCGGGCAGTAACCGCCTGCCCCCAACCATCGTGCTCACAGCCCTCAAGCGGTCAAGCATTCTTGCGCGAAGTCTCGTCCCTAAGCCCCGTGATCACAGCGACGTGTCGTTCCGCCCCAAAGGACCGTCCTCATTTTATGGGTTACCACCGTACCACTTGGAAAGCACACCATCACATTCACCCCGGCACCTAAAATAAGCAAACTGAGCATCAGTGGACTTGTCGTTATCGCCGTGCCAACTCCTCCCATCGCGTATAAACTCCGCCTAGAATGCTGGGGTTGACCAACCCGATGAATGCAACAGGTTATAAACTGTTTAGGGTCGAAGATGACTTAGAGGGCTCATTCGATCCAACCTCTTGCAAAGTCCGCCTCCAATCCACGCCTACTTTTTGAGACGCATTTTTGCCAGTCTTTTAATGCTTGTTACTTTTTTCATTGGCCATATTTTCAACATATAACCACATATCGACTGCGCGCTGATACACATCGTAGCTACACCACTGACACCGCCCAGACGACTCCGCCCATTCCCAAGGGTACCTATGCTAATAATGACACTGCATTTCAACTGATTTCTCTTCGAGTGAGTCGGCTTCTAATTTCCCTGACAAAATCTCGTTTTCCTTTCACAGTTCGATAAACTCTGCTACCCCTTCCATACACTTTATTCCTTCAGATTCCATGATTCCTGCACAATTCTGACTGAGCGTATACGCGCAGTGTTGGGCGTGAACAGTC